ATAGTTTTTGACTTTTTTCTCATCAATTTTAGAAAATTGATGTTTGTAGATATTAAAGAACTTGTCAAACCATTTGTTGAATTCTGGTAGTTGATCTTTCAGAGAAGGGATTTGAAAAGTCTCAAGAAAGTAACATTTAGGTATATTTAAGAAAATGTTGATGTTGAAGTAGTTGTCATTTTGTACTTTGAGAAGTAGTTGGTGGAGGGTATTTTCACTGATGTAATAGTGAAGTCAAAGTCTAATAAGATGTATATTGAGGTCTTTGCAGAATTTTTTCATGTTAATAGTAGTATATTTCTTATTAAGAATGAGGTATAATCGTGCAAGATTTAAGGCTACTAGATTTCGGTTGGCGATAGAGTAAGGTAGAACAAAGTTGTAGAAAGTGAAGATCTTAGAGTAATCGAGTTTAGTAAAGAAAGTTTTAGTAAATTCTTTAAGTAGTCCTTCAAGTGTAGAGTAGAGAATGTCAAAAAGAATAGAAATAGCTTTGTTAATATCAGGAAAATTCTCATAGATAAAGTTAGTAAGAAATTGGGGTCTTAGTCTAGCTATTTTTTTAATTAAGTAAAAATATGTAAATTTAAGTTCTTTGAAGTATTCGGTTGCAGGTTTGATAACCTTGCCGGGGTAGATATCAACAAGATGAGGTCTAATAAAATCAAATTATTGATGTACAAGTGTGTTCTCAAATCTAGTATAAAGTTTTATAGTATCAGTAATTGGATACTTTTGAAACCGGTCAAGATCATTAGAAGTGCCACGCTTTTGTTTAGGTTCTTGTTTCTGTTATTGTTGATGTTTTTGATCCTGATCTTGGTCATATTTTTGATCTTGTTTTTGTTCTAGTTTATCTTTGTTTTCATTTAATTGTTGTTGTTGTTGCTATTGTTGTTGCTGCTGCTGCTGTTGTTATTGCTGTTGGTATTGTTGTTGTTGTTGCTGTTGTTGTTGTTATTGTTGTGGTTTAGGAAATAGTAATGCCAGAATTTGGCCTCTTTTCTGAGCAGAAAGTTTGTGAAGTTTGATTAAAACAACAATGAGTGCTTGATGAGAAGTGAGAGGTGCTTCTTGTTTTGCTTTGATAAAGGATATGACTATTTTTTGAGTAAAGTTAAGTGGGGCTGTTGGTACAAGAGGTTTGAGTTTCATATTTGGGATATATGCCAAGCATGCTCTGTGGATTAAGTGGTTTTTAAAAAGGCCAACTGTAGTGTAGTCAGGTGCATGTTTGTACTGGTTTGTAGATACATAAAGAAAGTTTTTAATTCTGCAAAAGACACAAATATGATAGTGTTGTGAGTGTAGAATAATAGCTGTAGGGTTAAGATTAGTTTGAAAATTAAGAAAAAGTATTTGTAGGTTAGCTTGGTAGTGTTCCTCTTGGGCTGGTACTTTGGTAATAGATGATTTTGGTAATGGGTCACAGTTTTTGGTTAATTGTTTAATAGAAATTTCAGAAATCATGGTTGTAGATTCTTCAATAGCAGTACGTTGTATATATGGAATTCTGTAGTGTTCGGAAGTAAAACTAGCATGGTATTTGCCACAATAGTATTTACCAATAGAGGGTTGAAGAGGTACGTAGAAGAAGTGTTGTTTTTTGATTAAAGCACAGGCTTCTGGTTTAAAGGCTGTACAAAGAACTCGAAATGTGGTAATAGTTTTTTCAATAGTTCCTAATCCATAATGGTCTTGGTAGTTTTTATGATAGTAGTCAAGGTTGTAAGAGTCTGGTTCTTCAGAGATAAGAGTAGACATAGTGTTATGTAAAATTTAGTAGTTTCGATAAAGGGTGTGACAAATAAGAGGTATGACAAATAAAAAGAATGTAACAAATAAGTAGATATAACAACTATTAGATATGACAATAGGGTGTAACTCAGTGTCATGATAGATGGATCAACAAAATTGATAAAAAGCAAATTTTGTGTAAATTTACTAAAGCCAAAAAGGTAAGTTTGGTTTTTGTATAAAAATAGATATAACAAGGAGTAAAATTATATAAATTGATTAATAATATTGATTAGTAATAAGGATCTGCAGGTTTGGGCATCCTAGATGAGCAGAATCCCCCCCAAAAAAGAAAATTTTTAACAAAAATTAAAGTGCAGTTTTTGTAACAGAGTTTAAAAGTATTTTAGCTATAAAATTTGTAATTTTTATCTGTTTATAAAGTATTATATATCAAAATAAAATATACTCTTTCCATAGATCATTTGGACCAAAAACAAACAAAAATTTCGCCTATAATAATTATGTATTATCTCAAGTTTTTACTAAGAAAACTACTTTCAACACCTTAAGTAAATTCGTTTACAAGAAGATTTTACATATATCTTGAAAGTTTTAAGTTTCTAGCTTTCAATCTTGTGGTATAAAACCACTTTAACGGCCTTTGGCCTTCAATTTGTTTCTTCTCTTAATTTCTCGAAAAATCTCTTTACAACTTCTCTTGGGCCATTAAGAAAAGTTGTTAAGCTCACTTCTACAGTCATAACAAGTTCTAAAAGAAGACTATAAGCCTAATATTGACCAAAATATCACTTAAAACAACTTTAACTCCTCTAGCTCTTTTTACTTTTTCTTTGGTTCTTCTACTGCTACCTTTTCACCTTAGGTGTTTTTTGTGTAATATCAGATTATCTACCACATCTGGCCAGACTCTTCTGTCACATAGCCAACAACTCAACCTACTGCAGCCATTGTATTTTACACAGCTCTTGTACAAAAAAGCTTTTACAAATTTGGCTCTATTAAGCAAACTTTAATCAACATAGCTGACATAGCCCTTACATAGCCAACAGTATAGCCTACTGCAGCCATTGCTTTGCATACAGCCCCACATAGCCAAAATCACAGCCTACTGCAACCATCGTTTTGTATACAGCCTTTGTACAAAAAAGCCTTACAAATTTGGTTTTATTAAGCAAACTCTAATTTATATAGCTGTACACAGCCCAAATTGTTACACCAAGCCACACCAGCCATACTAGCCACACCCAACCTACTTTAAGGTTACACATTAGGTCACACAAAGCTACACAAGCCACACAAGCCATAGTTGCCACAGCACAACCTCAGAACCCCAGTTCTAGTCCGTTACCCCGGCCATAAGCATTTTATATTATTTTTATTTGAACCTCATTTGCTAAAAATTTTACTAAGTCTTTTGAATTAGTATTACTAAGCAAATTTGCAGATACCATGTCTACCTTAAGTACTACAAAACCAGATACCGTAGATCTTGACCATTTTTATAATAAACATCGCAACAGCTTTGGTATCAGAATTTATAAAGATTCTTCTAATATTCCCAGACCAATTCCAAAAAATACAAGACCAACTGAATGTACTTCTACAGAACTTAGAAATGTAACCAAGACCTGTCACCACTTTGAAGCTCCAAACATCTCAGCTATCATTAAATATTTATGCGGCAAATACTATACCCACTTTATTTCCAAAGAAAACAAGAAACATAGCAAACCTACTAATATCAAAATTGTTAGCCAAACAGGAAAAACAGAACTAGCCAAAAAATAGCTACTGCTACTGAATTTGTTTCTCCTTCTCCAACCTCTTCACCATCTTCTATGCAACATCAATATACATGCCCACACTGCAAACAATCTATCAATTGTAAAGTCTTTAACAATCAACACCAAGTAGCAAGTGATGCTATGATGTATAATGACAAACCATACCATAGATCTTGTGTAGAAAATCTCTCAAACCTACAACATAGATCTTCTAAGAATACAGGCACTGTATTTATCTCTAAACTGAGACAATCACTCAATAAATTTCGTGCCTATAACCCTTTAGCCTTAGAACTTAATCCCCTAACACCCTTACCTGAAAGCTCAGATGAAATGGATATAGATAAAGATACTCCTGTTAGAAGTAATCCTAATATGACCAACTATCACCATGAACTTACCTACTGGAAAAGTTAAAATTATTCAAATCTAAGTTAACTGATATATCTAATACTCTTCAACACCAACTATCCTGACAATTACCACCATTACTACATTTCCAACCTCCTGCTGAATATTCAGAGCAATCTAAATCTACTCTTACTCAAACCTCTAATACCCAACAACAACAATCTCAGCAGACAATACAGCAACAACAGACCCAATAGCAACAGCCAGTTAGTGACTCCAATAATACTCATACTAGTACTAGTAACTCTCAACAAGACCAAATACTTCTTCAAAAGAACCAAACTCAACACTTTTCTTATATCAGGATAATACTGAACAACAACAATTATTAACTGATGACACATACCAACAACCTTCACAACAATCCCAAATAGCTAACAACCAAAATTCTACTGCAGATCAAGTCAAACCAACACTTGACTGGCTAGCCAAATTTCCTGTCACAAAAGAAATAGAA